ATGTCAAATTTGGCAAATCAATCAAATCATATTATAAGTGTGATTGAGATTCAGTAATATTCTAAGGCAAAGAGCTGTTTTTTGTGGTAATGACAGGTTGTTACGATACCAAAATTTCAAACGAAGGAATAGACTCAATTAGCTGATGCCACCTACTGTACAGCCTCCACTCAATTTCATTTCTCTCCAGCAACTAGGTCAGGAATCAGAATACAGTAGATGGTTTGCAAAAACCCCGGAAGTGCAAGTTTGGGCACCGGCCAATCAGCGAAGAGCCAGACATTCTGTGTTGGCAACGATTCCCAAGATCGAGGATTTAAAGCCGGAACAAAGAGAATGTTTGGTGAATTTTATCAAGGGAAAAGACGTAATTGTCCTTCTTCCTACGGGATTTGGGAAAATCTTATATACCAGTTTGCCCCGTTAGCGGTGCATTACATACATCACGACCAAATAGCAGCGATTGGTTAAATGAAAAAAGTACCCGCCTACCGTAGAGCGAACGAATTCTAATGCTACAAGGTCAGACGGTTTCCACAAAGTTAAAGGGCTAAGACTCAATATTCTATACCAATTCAGAAACCATATTGTTAAAACTATTTTTTATTCTCATGTATATCTGTGTAATCTCAGTTGTCCAGTAGGTTCCATAGTGTCCATGGGTGTCTACTAGTCTATGTGCTCTTATACTTGTCCTGATACAGCTCAAGATCATTCTAAAGGAAAGGTTAATTTGTATACTTTTCTGTATCAATGTTTGCTCATATGAGTATTGAGTTTTGAATCGATTAGGAGTATTTGATTTTAGATACTTTTGGTCACCATAATGGCAATGTTTTAAAAGTATGTATAGTTTTGTGAATAAATGGGTTTAAGTCAATACTGAAAGCCATTTTTATATGTTTTAAACAAAATAAATATAATAAAAAATCAAGGCAGAAAATCATTATATGTGGTTTCTGTCAGGATTGGATTATCAGACACCATAGTGACGACAAAACACGTAAGATTAATTGCAGTGGAATCGAATTTGCAGAGATTTTACTTATCACTTTTAAAGCTTGTTTAGGTTTTTGCACAGTTACATTTCAGAACTCTTAACCTCATATAAGCCTTAGATCCTCAGGCAGGTCCCTGTGGCTGTTCCGAAGTCCAGGCTGTGGACGAAGGCTGATGGAGCCTTTTCAGTCCGGGCGCCTCAGCTTTGGAACAACCTGCGTGAGGAGATAAGACTCGCACCATCAGTATCCTCTTTTAAATCATTTCTTCACTTTTCTTTAGCTGCTTTTAGCTTGGTTTTATTCCTTATTTATGTTTATTAGGGGCGTAACGATATCAAAGTCTCATGATACGATATCGTCACGGTATGAACCTCACAGTATGATATTTATTGTGATATCATGGGAAAGTTCACGATATGATGTGGAGGCTCACGATTAGGGATGTAACAATATCCAAATCTTTCTGTACAATATTTTCACGATATACATCTCACTGCACGATATTTATTGCGATATTTTGTGGAAGCAAACAAAACTATTAATACTTTTTCCTCTTAAAATGCCTTGACAAGACTTAATCTAAAGACCTAAGACTTAAAAGTGTTAGAACTGTTATTTCTTCTTGTAGTCTGCACTGAAATGGAGCAAAGGATCATGGTCTATGTAGTTCCCTCTGTCTTTTTATTAGCTGTTGCTGCACCAGAACTCTTCATTTAAGCAAAGAGACTTGTAATTCGATATATTGTGATGGTCCACGATATTATTGTGAGAACTTTGACGATAAGATATCATGATATTTCGTAAGTTATGTAAGTTATTGTTACATCCCTAATGTTTATTCTATATTATTAACTTATCAGAATTTTCTGCATCATTGTCTGTTTTTGTATGCTTACTGTCTTTATAAATATAGATGTATTCTTATTTATTAATTTCAATGAACACAAGTAGCAAAGCACAATTTTTGAACTACCACAGTTTCTTCTACAAACAAGAAAATCTCAAAAGTCGTTTCTTCTGGGTGCGTTTTCAAATGTTCAAATTCAAAACATAAACCATAAATCTAATCACAATGCTTGTCAGATATTTGTTTTTTTTTTCCCCGCAAATCTTTCCCCTCTAAAAGTAAATGTTAAAAAAGTGTCAGAAGTCACCATGTAAAACTACAGTCACTTCTACTGTTGACCAGATGTTAAGAGTTAATAACAAGAAATAATCAAATGTGGACAGACAGATGTGCCTGGTGTTGGTTTGTCTAATCAGTGCGAATCCGACCTCCCAGAGCGATCACTCCACATGTTTCCCTTCAAACAGGCCCATAAGCCCCTCTCCAAAGCCTCCAGTGTTTATAAGAGCGCACAGCGGTCGATGGTGTCGGCTAACACGCTACACTAAAGATTTACCTCAAAAAACACTTACCTTACTGCAAGTCTGTGAAACACGCACGGTCGTGGGTTATCAAGGAGCGTAGGTTCATTTTAACTTTTAATAGACACAGACCAAAGAATGAGGCTTGGTGGAGGATTAAACATTGGTTAGGAACTCAATGGGAGAAGATGACTGCTTTATTATTCACCTTAGCAATGAATCGATGAAGGTAGGGATGGATGATAAGTTTATAATGGTATCACACAGTAAACAGTGTTGGGGAGTAACAGATTACATGTACCGGAGTTATGTAATCACAGTACAAATTATGAGTAACTGTATTACAGTTACTGTTTCAGTGAGTGGTAATTGGATTACAGTTACTTTGTTGAAATAAATGGATTACACAGCGGTATTTTCCCATTTTCACAATTTGGGCTATATCCCTTTTTTTTTTTTTTCTTCTGTAATTCCACTCATTGCCGGACACTAAACCAGGACTTAAACCAGGACTTAAACCAGGTCTAAAACCAGGTCTAAAACCAGGTCCAAACCAGTTCTAAACCTGGTCTAAATTAGGTCTAAAACCAGGTCTAAACTAGGTCTAAACCAGGGCTAAACCAGGACTAAACCAGGTCTAAAGCAGGACTAAAACCAGGTCTAAGCCAGGTCCAAAACCAGGTCTAAACCAGGTCTAAACCAGGTCTAAACCAGGTCCAAACCAGGATTAAAACCAGGTCTAAACCAGGTCTAAACCAGGTCTAAACCAGGATTAAAACCTGGTCTAAACCAGGTCTAAAACCAGGTCTAAACTAGGGCTAAACCAGATTTAAAACAAGATTTAACAGGACTAAATCATGTTGCGTGGACGTGTCTCCTTCTATCAATAATATTTTTAATTTGGTTAAGTAAAGTCTGGTCTTTTTATTTTCTTTTATCAGACAAAACATCTTATGTGAAGATTCCCTAGTCTTTGCTTCTTTAAAGCAAATCAAGTAATCCAAAGTATTCAGATTACATTACTCACTTTAAGTAATTTAATGGATTATGTTGCAAACTACATTTTGGGGTATGTAATCTGTAATCTGTAGGGGAATACATTTTAAAAGTCACCTTCCCAACACTGACAGTATTGATATTTGATACTGATATTTATGTTGATATTTTTTCAGCACTACCCCATTCTTTGTGCATCTTTGTGCGAACAGATTTGCGTTACAGATGAGCGTACAGAAATAATAATCTGACAAATAAAAAAATGACAAACACATTTATTTAGTTACAATGTTTCAAATATCGGAAAAAAAAGTTTCTTCCAAGTAAATTGTGTCAAACTTTTATCATATTTTCCGGGCTATTAGGCACTCTTTTAAGCCTCTAACCCCATCAAAAAACGAACCCGCACCCCGCAATCCAGAGCGTCCTATACACGGATCCACTCAGGTGTCCCAGCACGACTTCAGTAAACTACAAATCCGCACCACCCTCAGAACACGCAAACACACACGGAGCAGACAACGACCGCACAGCGAAAAACACCCTCAGACACACTCATCACTCCACACCGACGAGGAACGGAACGGAGGATGTGCAATGTGCCACTTCTAGACACAACTGAACACTGCCGACAATCCGTTGGTCCCAGACAGCACCCTCCCTACACGCCACAACTGAACAAAGCCCAGAGTCACCATGAACGCACCAAACAAAGTCCCACTGAACCATCCAACTGTTGTGTTTCCTTTAAAGTCAGGTGCGATTTATTTGTGAAAAAAGTTCGAAAATAGACCATTTAATGACAGTGCGCCTTATAATCCAGAGCGCCTAATAGCCCGGAAAATACGGTAGACAGAATTTTACACAGACCAAACTTGGCCCTCAGGACATCTCTTTTGACCTGTGAGACATTGCTCAGATTTTCTGCTTTGATTAAATTTTGCACTGAAAAGACTGTCAAGAAATGAAAGGGAGCACATACCAGAGGATCCCACTAAAAAGAGAGTGTATATATGTGTATATATGTAGCCCTCAGACCACTGGTATATAATATTCATACATACGTATTCATTTTGGCCGGCTGAGGAAAAAAGTTTGGGTGCCCCTGCCCTAGTGTGATGTCAGTACTATTTTATAAAGAAAATCGATCTCTCTACTTTTCAACACATTTTTCAACTCTTCTTGGCAAATTGCTTCATGGTTGGCATAAAACTATCAGTTATATAATAGGTATCATCACACCAAATTCAGTCAAAATTTGAGAATCATCAGAACCGGGCTCAATCCTGTTCTGTTTAACTCTGCATATGACTGAAAAGTTTGATGAAGGAAGTCTGGGAGTCTCTGCTCAGACTGTTGCACCCGTGACCCGGCCCCGGATAGGCGGAAGAAGATGGATGGATGATTTTATTCTGCACTATTCTCTTTTAATCTTAATTTTATATGATATTTAGCTTTTGATTTATTTATATTGAGATTTTAATGTCTGTCTTATTCTGTAAAGCACTTGGAGTCACTTTGTGTATGATTTGTGTTAGACAAATAAACTCCTCGTCTTACCTTTGTTTTACCATAACAAAAGTGTGAAACCTGAAGCGTATGCTAACATTCCCCTCTCGGTGTCTCCCTCTCCAGGGCATGCGGGTGCTGGTGGACGCCCGTGACAAGCTGGGCATCAGTTGGCAGAGCTGTGAGAACGAGAAGCAGGGCATGCTGGTGATGTCGTGGGAAGGCCGGGTTGGCACGACGGGGGTGGAGCCCGGAGAGTTCCAGCTCTACGTGATGGCTCTAAGCACACTGTGGGCTGACACAGGGATACAGGAGGCCTACTGCAGACGCTCCGAGTTCCAACTGGTGAGTACAGCTATACATAAACTAGAGGTCGTTTACATTTATTTTATTAAAGAAAAGCCCCTTGAGGTGAGTCGCCTCATTTTCAAGGGGGATCTTTAGCATCCAAAGAATACAACAAGTTGCAAAAATACTAACAATCAAAACAAAAACAATACAAAAACAAAACAACATATCTAATAAACAGAAACGCAAAACGATAAGACAAAATACAAAGACACAAACAGACATTAAACATAAACATAGAGAAATGTCAATGTAACAACCAAACAGATTCCTCACTAAAAGCATCACATTGGGTTTTAAGATGAATGAATAAGTCTTTCTCAAAGATATGAATGATGAAGTGGAGCGCAGAGAGTTTGGCAAATTGTTCCAGTCTGATGGTGCTTTGAACTGGAATGCTCTTCATCCGATGACTGTGGTGGTCTTGGGTATTACAAAGGAAGGATGGTCTAATTGTCTGAGAGAGTACTGTGATGAAAATGGAACAAAGTATTGTTGGAGGTAAGATGGACAAAAAAGAAAAATGCATTTAAAGATGAACTGAAACCAATGAAAGAGCGTTCTTGCATCAGGAAGTAACCAATCCAGAGTTTCATACAGAATACAATGATGAGTGAGATATGGACATTGCAAGATGAATCTACACAAACTATTGAAGGTAACATACAGAGGACGTAGGTGAGAGTCAGATGTGTTTTGATAGGTAATATCAGCATAATCAATTATGGGTAATATTAGTTGCGTAATTATTCTTTTCCTAAGGTACAGTATATCGCCTCAATATCTGTACCGATATTCACATGATTGAGTAATGACGGTATCGGCCAAAATCACCAAAACCAGCTAGTTGATATTGTGTACTCTGGTAAGAGAAGTAGACTAAGGAACGCTGTGACGTCACCCACAGGAGTTGGAGTCTAGCAGTTACAGGAGCGAATTTGGAGCCAGTTCCATATTAGGAATAGAACTGCTTTATGGTCAAAACAGTGAAATAAAAACATCAGGATGATGAAAAGCGGGTTAATACATAATGGTTTTTCAGACATTATGTGATTAGTTTCCTTCCTAAATGATGAGTTTAGACATGTTCACTTAGTTTTAGTTGTTAAATGTGGAGAAGATGTGGTTCCTGTGAGCAAAGTGAAGAGGAGGAGGGACTGAACTATGGCTGCTGCTGCTACTACAAACGGAGGCAGAGTAATGCCATAAACACACACAGCCTGGACAAGTAGGGAGACTTTATTAAAGAAAACTAGAAATGCACAATAATATAGTATAGCTTATAGGCCTATCTCTAAACTGTGCTTAATACATTGTAAGCCTATCAAACTTTGCGTTTAAAAAACTTTTTTAAAAAAAAGTTTTTGTTTTTTAATCGGCTCAAGCTTTTCACAAAACATCTGTATGAGCCTAAAATCTCATGGGTGCATCCGTGACACAAACACTATAGCTGCTAAAATGGATTCATTTTGCAGTTATAGTGGGACTAAACATCTCAACTCCTCCCACAACCACATTTCAAATAGACCTGTTAAACTGAGTCAACTATGATTGGTCCAACAGGTATCCACACATCAAACTCCGCCCCTGCAGCCGACAGTAGCTCAGCTGGTAATATTTGTCCATTGATCTAAAGGTTAGTGGTTTGAATCCCCCTCTCGACATGAAACATACAATGTGAATAAATGTATGCGCTCTAATTAAAAATGTGACCATTTACCTGTTTATAAGCAGGGTAGTTCTTTGTGATGTTACCAGCTACTGGAAATTGCTGTGGTCACTGGAGGCAGCACACACTTTTAGATGTTTTACAGTTTTTAGTTTGTTTGTTTTTTTTACCAGAAAACTGCAAATGTACCTGTTGCCCTAAAAATGTCCAAAAATGAGTTGAAAGAGATAATAGATCATGTTATTAAGACACCATGCAGTTTAGTAGTTAAATAATTATACATGTCACATATAGAGCTACAAGACTGAATCAAAATAGTCACATTTAGAGCACTTGGTGACATATCGGTTATCGGTCTAAATCTTGCCGATCTGGACCGATAGTCCATGTTGGCATGTTATACTTCATTATAAAGCTTAGACTCTCTATATTATGTCCATTTAATCCAATTTACAGACAGATAAATGTCCTAATATGTGGCTCCGTGTCAGTATTGTCTGTGGAGTCATTTGTCTATGTGTGTGACGCCCCTGAACGCACCCCCAGAGTCAAGTCACTCATGTACGCTTGTTTACAAGATCCATGTGCACAACACTGAGGCGCTGCTTTAAACACTCGTGTCTGATCCACGATACTAACAGACTATAAATAAAAGTGAACTTCAGCACAGTTTAGGCCAGAAAAAAAAAAAACTACTGCTTGTTTTTATCAAAGTGCAAGTGCAGAGAAAAGAGGACTGTCCCCATAGACAACACTCGCAGCTGCTGTCAACATGCTGGATTATATTCTTTTTATGGACGATCGTTTTGAGTCAGGATTAAAAGGACTTTTATTAGTGCAGACTTGTGATCTGTGAGGAGCCTGTGTGAGCTTTGAGTATTGCAAATGTGTCGGTTTTGAAACTACTTTTGTTTCTTTCCCATTGTTTAGCTGTTAGTTGCTGTAGCTCCCGCACATAAACAGCCTGTTTTCTCTTACACTGGCCTAGTGTAAAATGACTATAGCGGCTGTACACACACTGAAATGTAAATGAGCTATAGAGGATTGGCATTTACGCATATAATTACCGCGGCGTCAACACATTTACCGCTAAAGGCTGATAGCGATAGTTTACTTACTTTTTTAACTGGCTAGAATGTCATGGAAAAATGCCATTAGGCCAATCAATTGTCTATAAATATGCCTGTAAAGAAGCAGAATACCAATAAATGTAGCCTAAACAAATTAAATTTAAAGACCTAAGTTTTAAAATCAATTGAAAATTTACATAGAATTTTTCCATCACTATATCGACTTTTTTTCGGCTATGTGCAGCTCCAGCTCCTATTTTATCAATATCAGAATCGGACGCACAAAAATCCATATTGGTCGGTTTCAGGGGCTCTTTGTACGTTTTGGGTAGGAGGAGTGTCATAACAGTAGAGCGTGAAACCCATCTAGCTTGCGTGTATTCAGTTGCAGGTGTTTTACTGCTCCAAAATATCTTGAAAAACATCCACTCTAACTGGGTCACCGCTCTACAGATCTGTTACTATGGCCTGGTAAGAGTTTACATGAAGATATATTTATGCCGTACTGTGGAACTTGTGAGGTAAAGTAATAACTTCTCCGTTCAGATTAGCTTTACCAGAAAAGTTCCAAGTAAAAAGAGTGCAACATTAAATAGAGGTATTACCGTATTTTCCACACTATAGGGCGCTCTGGATTATAAAGCGCACTGTCATTGAATAGTCTATTTTCAAACTTTTTTCACAAATAAACCGCACCGGACTATAAGGCGCATTAAACAAAACACAACAGTTAGATAAGTCAGTCAAACTTTATTTAACGCGTTCACAATAACTCAACTTTGTTCAATTGTAACGCGTCAAAAAAAGTACTGTCTGAGATGCAAAATTGTTTGTATTCACAATAACTCATAATTGTTCAAACAGTTGGGCGATTACGGCGTCATAGTCCCTCTCGTCATTATCCGAGTCAGTGTGGTTACTGTTACCTGTTACAGTTCAGTGATGATTCGGGTCTTGGTGAAAGCTCGGACCACAGTTGATACTGATCCTTAGCCCATGATCCATTGGCAGATCGTGGTGTAAGTGGCTCGGTGTTGTCTCTCTGTCTTGGTGAATGTGTTTTCTCCTTCTCTCATCCACTGCTCCCACACAGCTCGCACTTTCACTTTATAACAGCCTTGAGTTTAAAGTGGGTGTTGTGAGCGTGTCTCTTGACAGGTGTATTTTGATATTAAATGGAATCACAGTATGTATTACTCCGCGATGCTCCTGACTACGGGAGCCGTAATGCTGCAAGTGGAGTGGCTTTGTAGTTTACTAAAGTCGTACTAAGACTAGACCTGTAACGATAACAGATTTTGCTGGACGATTAATTGACCAAGAATTTATTGCGATAAACGATAACATTGACATTTTGAGACCAATTTCAACTATTATAATGACCATGGAATAAAAATGCAAATACACCCTTTCAAAGATCAATAAACTTTACTTTCTAAAGAACATTTAACACAGGAACTGTAAGACGACCAAAAACAACAGGCCTGAATAAAACAGACTTGTTAACACAGGACTAGCCTAATGTAATTGACTTACATTGGTGTATAGTGGTCACTCTCTCTGTGGCTGCTGCTGTGAGACTCGTCATTTTGGTCATTTAAATGTTCGTATTAACCAGCGACACAGGATGTTATTTCGCTATGAGGGAGCCTCTGTCCTGTCTGGTATTGTGTCGGTGTCTTGTGGGATCTCAGTGGATTTCGGGCTCTCCCGGGGGCGGGGCTAGTTGTGTCACTCAGGTTTGGGTGTATGTCAGCTGTTGGGGTTTGAGACATTTCTTCTCGTCATTTGCGCGTTCGCTGCATTTGACGCACGTGACTGTTGAGACGTGTCCCGCTCACTTCGGCATTGTGACTTCTTCTGGCACTCGGCGATGAACTGTTTTGTCACTCTGACAGCGGCTCTAGCTTGTGTTGCGGCTTCATGTTAGCCGCACAGACAGCGATGCTTTCTGCACTCAGGCTACGCGCACATCCACACAGCGCACGTTGGTTCAAGCCTCATTACACTTGTTAAACGAGACGAGTCAGAGAGCGATTGAAGCCTTCTAACATTCACCCTCTTTGGAAGAAAACAAACAAGCATGCAAATAGAATTTATCGCGGCCGGAAAAGTTATCGCGCTTGTTAAAAGTTATTGTACCATTAATTATCATACATTCATACATGAGGCGTTCTGGATTATAAGGCGCGCAGTTGTTTTTGGATGAAATTAAAGGCTTTTAAGTGCACCCTATAGTGTGGAAAATACGGTATATA